AGACACAACTAGAAAACACACCCGCTCGAACGCAAAAGGAAGCCTGCTCGAGCGTAGATTCCCCTCTTCCAAAACTTTTACAGACAATGAACAACCCGCTCGAGCGCCAAGACACCCGCTCGAGCGCTACCCGCTCGAGCGTAAGGAAATCCGCTCGAGCGTGAAAAACACAACTGTAGAAGTTTTGCAGAGGCACGAAATGCTGAGAGTGTGAAAACCCCGCTCAAGCGCAATAAGGCCCGCTCGAGCGGACAACCAAAGATCACACTCCGCTCGAGCGCAAAGGGACCCGCTCGAGCGTACCACCAAAAATCTGGGCAACAAGGAATGGGACTAAAGCTCAACCAACCTGTTCGAAACACGCCCAATACATCCTAAAACTCAAACACACGGAATTAAAGGATAACAACAAGATATACAACCATCAACTCCACGGAACCTAAGTCCGGAATACAACAATCAAAGGAAGAGAAACCGGGATCGCTATAGACAAGCCATCGTTGGTCCTCGACAAGCTCGTTGGGATGTCTCGAGCTACGGACTGAGGAAAGAGAGTTGAAGCTCGATCGAAGAGCTTCGATCGATTGGGGAAAGCAATCGAGTCACTTAAAGGTGAAGAAGATGGGGAATGCAATTTTGACTCTGAATTTGGATTTGGATTCGAATTTGGGTTTGGATTCCGATTCCGATTCTAATTCCGATTCTGATTCCGATTCTTATTCATTTTCAGAAGAGAGATTTAGGGAGGTTTGGATTTAGAGAGAGAGAGATGAAATAGAGAAGATAGAGAGAGAAATGAGATTTGGTTTGAGAGAGTCAAATTTCTCTGTAATATATGGGTGTAGGGTTGATGGATCTTAGACATTAGAAAATAATATTGTGGATCTCTCCCATTATTAAAATGGAAGAGGGACCCGATATTAATTTTTCCTAAAATAAATACTCATTTTGTTATTAGAAATAATAGTTAAATTAGAAAGAGAATTAGTAATATAAAACTAAATGGAATTTTTTAAAGGTCCCTGATATTAAGATTTTATAAGATAAAGGGCATACAATATTTTCATAGTAGTTGGGGTCTCTCAATATTTTCACAGAGAAAATTCAACACAAAAAAATTTCACCCCCACATAGAGAAATTTCAATTTTTATAGAGAAATTTATTTGATTTCACAGAAAAATTTCATCAAGGGACCTTAGTTAATAAAAAAAAAAAAAAAAACATATTGGACCTCTCCAACTACCCAAAGTTGGAGAGGGATGTTTCATTAATTTTTCCAAAACTAAAAGTGAATCTAATTATTTAATTTAAATTTTATTTTATATTTATTTGGAAATAAAAATATGTAGAAATAGAACTACACAAAATTTATTTAAAATATTTAATATAAATATGTTGTGATTGGATTAAGAATAAAATACATAAATTAATTATGTTGAGTATTGATTTTTTCTTTAATATTCTTTTTGAATTATTCATACATATTGTATATACGTATATAAAATTTAAATTAGATATAAATATTTTGTAATAAATAATTTCATGTTAAATAAAAAATTAAATATAAATTAATATTAATACATCAATAAGATAGACAAAAAAATATATATATATATATATATAAGAGAAAATTAATTTAATCTGTGTGATACACATAATTAAGTATATTTTGTCTTATTTATTTATTTGTATATCAAATTAATTTTTTTTCAAATATCATAATAATTAAATTAAAATATCAAATATATAAAGAAATTTGACAACGACAAAACTAAATACACAACGAAAAATATATGAAAAATAATACAGTCCATATAAAATTTGTTATTATAATTGAAATTAAGTTTGTGTATAATTTTATATGTAATAAAAAAAATATGTTGATGTGACTTTTAAAAAAAAAAAATAGGCATTGGTTGTTTGGAATGATCTAAATAAGTACATTTTTTGACTTTTTAAGAAAAGATGTACAGAAAAGTAGAGAGGTAATGTGACCCCAAAAAGATAAAAAGTGTACTTATATAGCACACCCCACATAAGAAAAGAAAAAAATACTACTTTTATGATATGTTGAATGTGCTCTACTCTCTCTATCTAAAACATTTTTATATCTAAAGGCTATATTTGTTTGGACAGACTGGATTAGGTTGGATTAGTATTCTTATGACTAATAGTCTTAGGACTACGAATTTCTTTGAATTGTGTATCATATCTTATGTTTGGATTGAGTTAGGATTATAAGAAGGGATTAACAAAATATTATTCAATCCGATGTTTGTTTAAGAGGATTGGAATGAATAGGACATGACAAGACATAGGACATCTAATATATTGATCATAATACCTCTATTATGATCATTTGATAAATTAGTCTAGACTTTGATTCAGTCTCCAAATTTATATCCCACCTTCTATGTGGGACATTGTATGTGAATACCATATTTGAATGAATTATTAGTCCATATTTCAATTTTTTAACCAAACATCGGATTAATAATTTATTGAACTATTAGTCTAATCCCAAACACATGTCCACCCAAACAAATATGGTGAAAGGATTTTTGACCGTGTCAATTGGAACTACTTGCTCGGTATGCTGAAAGAAAAGGACTTTGGTATGAAATAGTGCAGTTGGATTAATGTCACTGTTTCTCTGTCTTTTCTGATCAAGATCAATGGATCCCCCCAAGTGAATTCACTCATTTTAAAGGTTTGATGGGATGTTCAAGAAAGTGAAGAAATTGAATTTGATCGAAACGGTGGAGCTAAACCAAAATAGAGTTTGTCTTATTTTTTTGCAATTCACAGCTGAGATGCATTGAGCTTTTGAATGTTGAAAAAGAATTATTAGATGCTTTGAGTTAGTGTCTGGTCTGAAATCAATTACTATTAGATTTCATTTGCAGATTTTTTCTTATTAAGTTTTTTTTTTTTTTCAAACCAAGAAAATGACTTCTCTGTTAATAAGCTGTTGTCTGGTTTAGACAGATAAAGAAATTATTACAATTTTCGAGTGGTTTTGGTTATTTTTCTCAATTTTTATATTAAAATACGACATTTTTTTTTTTTTATTTATTTTTTATTTTTTAATTTTTTTTTTTTTTTTTTTTTTTGGGTTTTTTTTTTTTGCGGTAGTTCTTTAATTTCATGTTTGAACATGCAATGAGTACAAGACTTCAAATTTAAATTAAAATGGGTTCTGTTTTTGTGCTATGAAATAGCCAAGTCATAATTATTTAGACAAGAATACAACAATTAGACACAATGAAAATGTGGCCAGATTCGAGCTTTTTGTTGGCAACTTCCATGGAAATGTCCTAGATACATGGATCACTTCATCCCGGTCAAGAAAATTGTGAATCTCAAAACATACGATAAAATTGTTAGGGATCCATCAAAGAAAACCCATAATATTTTTTTTTGCTTGGTAAAACCATCTCTAATGATTACTTAAAACTATCATCAAAATTGAATTTGATGAAAAATAGCTTCAAAACTTGCTCCAACGGTTTATCAAATACGTATCAATTCCATGATTTCACTTTTCTTTCATCAAACAGAGGATCAATGTGCCTTTTATCAAATCATTGTTCATTGCTATTACCGGATGTCCTCCCAGTCGTTCCCCCGGATGACCATCTCAAGGGAAAAAGTTGTGAAAAAATTACACTAACCGATCGACAGGCTGGTCGTCCGCCCGGTCGACCAGTGGTTTGATAAAACTTCAAAACCCTTCGTTGGAACACTTGATATCAAAGGAAGCTTTTACTCAAATTTGGTAAAAAAAATTGATACACCGTTGGAGATGCTCTAAGATCCTTTTTTAAGTGTTATCTGTGAACCAGAGATTTAGAGACAAAAAAAAAATTCTTAAAATGAGCAATTTGATGAAGAACCTGAAGAGAACAAGATATATCCCATTGTTTAAAAAAAACAAAAAAACCAACCTACTATGAATTAGGATTCAATTACCGTTTTAATTCTATTTCATTTAAGCTAACAGTGTAACACATATTTTTGACCTTAGTCTAATTATTTTATTTTATTTTATTTTATTTATTTAGGGACAATTGCATAACAATCTTAAAGTTTGAGTTTTGTAACAAAATAAATCATGAATTTTTAATTTTGTCAATTTAAACCTTAATCTTTTTAATTTTTTTTTAATTTTAAATTTAAACTATTTGTCTATCTTTGTTAAATAAAATCGACAAAAAAATAATATTTTAATCTTTAAACTCGATATATGTATCCGTAAAATCTCTAAAATATACATTTCCAATATAATCAAGACGGCTCCCATGAATTATCCCAAAATTCCAAATTTAACAATTAAACAGCAAAAAAAATTATCCCAAAACTCATAAACCACAACATTTTTCAAAGAATTCAGCAGTTTTCATCAAGACAACTCCCAAGAATTTCAGCAAACTCAGGGTCCCTATCATAATCCTTCCCCCCTCCTCTTCTCTGGTTCAATTTCTGTTTCCAAATTGTGGGTTTTGATACTTGGACTCCTACTTGCTCTGGCTGTGCATAGACTTGTCTTGGGTTGAACACAGTTTTGGTTCGATTAACGTGGGCTGTGAAAGATGAGGTAGTTGAAGAACGGGGTGCGCAGGGGTGTATGCAAAGAGAAATTGAATTGGGTCCAAATTAGGACTCTACTTTTTAGTACAAGTGTATGTAAAGAGAAATTCTAGGACTGATTACTAATAATGTGAATCTTGTAAGGATTAGGAAATCTTACAGAGGCTTCCTAGTTTCAGTAGAAGTCATGTAAAAGAGAAATTCTAGGTCTGATTAGTATGGTAATAATGACAATTTATAAAACCGTGTCCCACTAATTTCTTCATGAAAGAATTAGGACTCATGAAAGAATTAGGATTCAATCATTATAAATAGAACCCTCACTCTCCTAACTCTTCTCATCATCAAAACAAATATACATTCTGCTTTCTTATTATTCGATTACTCTCTTGTTGAAGCCACCATGAACATGAAGCTTTTGATTGCTGTTCTGATAGTCTTCTTGTTCTCTGCGGCTGCTGATTCATGTTCTGATTTCATGTTTCCCGACAACAAAGTCTTCACATCATGCACCAATCTGTCCGCACTCAACTCCTTTCTCTACTGGAGTCAGAACCCATCATCAACAACTCTCGACATGGCATACCGTCACAGTCATGTCCCTCCCTCCACATGGGTTGCATGGGGCATCAATCCCAAGCCAAACAAGATGGTGGGTACTCAGGCGATCATTGCATATCAGAAGCCAGATGGAAACATGGCTGTCTACACCTCGTCTGTCGATAGCTATGCGACTCAACTGCAAAAGGGAAACTTGAGTTTCCCTGTTTCTGATTTGTCTGCCTTGTTTTCTAATGATGAGATCATTATCTTCGCAACGATACAACTTCCCAACAACAGTTCTACTATCAACCATGTGTGGCAAGATGGACCCATAACTGGCAACCATCTTGGCATTCACGATCTATCTGGACGTCATCTTCAATCCATGGGAACTCTCAATCTTTTATCTGGACGGGCCTTCGCCTCTCACGGATCTGATTCGAAAACCAAACTCAAGATTGTATGTAATTCAATCTCTTTGAAACTATGTCATGTCATCCTTATTTTTAATATTGTCTTTCTTATTTTTGCTTCAGTCTGTTTGCTGTTGCCCTGCCCTGAACCATTGTTTCATGCGTGCTCTACTGATTTATTTTCAAATTACAAATACAAATTTAATTTAATGCTTTTTGGTTGTTTTAATCTGACCCTGTTTGAGGATATAAATTGGTACACGCATGTTTTTCTATCCATAGTAAAATTTACCTTGTAACTAATTTTTCTAGATGAGTTTAAAATGCTTGCTACATAACATAGATAAAAACCAAATCTAGTCAAAACAGGGGAGTTTAGGTCCTGTTTTAGGGCTTTGTTTTAGTATCTCAATGGCTTTACTACAATTAATTTAGATTTAGCCTCCTACAGTGTTCTAATGGTGAATGATTTTCAAATTTAACAGTCACATGGTGTACTCAACACAATTAGCTGGGGCATTATGATGCCAATTGGCCTTTTGGTGGCAAGATATTTGAAGGCAGTTGGACCGGCGGTGGACCCTTTATGGTTCTACCTCCATATTATTGTTCAACTCTCAGCCTATATAATCGGCTTGGCAGGAGGTGCAACTGGGTTTCTTCTTCTCAGCAAATCTTCTGGCATTCATCACCCTTGCCATCTAGGCATTGGGATTATACTTTTTTCCCTTGGACTACTTCAGGTATTACAGCACTCTGCTCCACAAATCTATATAACAATTTCAGATTGTTTGTTTGTTCTTCTTAATTCTTATTATTAGTTTATAATTAGTATGTTCCTATCATGCTAACAAATCTTTGTTTTTGTGTTTAGGTCTCTGCTCTACTTCTGCGACCTAGCAAGGACAACAAGTATAGGTATCTCTGGAATTTGTTCCACCATAACACGGGATACGCAGTCATTCTCTTGAGCTTCTTCAACATATGGTTAGGATTCAGCATTTTGAAGCCTGCGAAAAGATGGATGATTGCATATGGGGTTGTGTTAGGGGCACTGATATTATCTGCATTCCTCCTTGAAGTGTGGAAGAAGTTTGCAAGAGATGGAAGGACTGGTGGAGCACATGAAGAAGTCAATAAATCTGCAAGTACAAGTTCCGTAAATAGTGTGTAAAATTTCTACGTATATTTAATTGAGAATTGACCAAGAGGAAAGCCACCTAACTATTGATGCTACTTACACTATTACCTTGTTCTGAATGTTTGAATGTTGAGTAGGGGACTAAATGTTGCTATTAATGATACTACATTTTTTAAAGTTGTTAATGATACTACATTTTTTAATGCTATTAAGGTTGTCTAGGGCCTATATTTTATTGTGATCACTTCAGTTGTCATGCCTTCAGATTTTCTTCAAAAAATAGGGATTTTAAATGGGAGTGTTTCCATTGAATGTGCTTCCTGCAGCCAAGAGATTGAATCAGTGAACCATGTACTTCTGTTTTGCCTTTTTATGTGGAAGGTTTGGACTGAAATGCTAAATTGGTGGCTGCAATGTGGTCAATTTGGAAGCAATGGAATGAGGTGGTGTTCAATGCTTCTAATCCAAACTGGGTTGAGCTCTGTGTGTTGATCAAGATTAGAATTGCTTTGTTGATGAATCCTTTGTTCCTTGACTTCCATTTTTCAACCCAGGATTGCCCATTTAATCTGAGACATATCAGGAGGAGTTTAGGTGGTATTGTGGACCTGTGAGTGTGCCCAGCTGTGCTTTGTTTGTGCAGATTGGTGTGCTGTGTGGCCTGCTTTTTTCTTTATTTTCTTTTCTGGTTTGTTGGTTCCTCACCAATGGATGAGGTGTGCTAGCATATGATTATGACTCAACTAGATTTTTTGTTGTAGGAACTCTTGACATTGCATAAATCAACTGTAGCTGAATTTCTTTCTAAAAATTATGACTAGGCAAGTGATGTTTGAATGTGTGTATGTATGTATATTGGTTTTCATGTATGTATGTCCACACGCATTAGTTAAGAAGCTTTATGGCGTGCTTGATTTGGAAATGTATTAGTTCTACATTGAAGTACTGTTCGTAAAGAATTATGATTGCAAGCATTTAAATTCTATGTTTGATTTATCTGTATCGATGTCTTCATAACTTGATCTCCAAATAAACTATCTTCACTCTTCAGTGAAATCTCTCTGTTAATATTTACATCAGAACTGCCTGACACATGCTCAAAGTACTGATATATTGCACATTTTTTTGTGCTTGGGAAGAAGTCAATATGAGTGGAGTTGTGGTGCTATTTAATGAGGTTTAAACTATCTTGTACAAGTATTGCGTGTTCATTTCATACTTACATAACTATCTAGCACATGCTTGAACTACTGATATATCGCACATTTTATGTGCTTGAGATTAAGTCAATATGTATGGAGTTGTGGCCTGTGTGTGCTATTTGATGTGGTTTAAGCTAACGTGTGTAAGGAAGTCTTGCATGTTACTTGCATATTTTGTGATATACATATACCAGGCAACATAAAATTTTCACATGGTTATTTGTTTTATCAACTTAGCCACCACCATTGTTAGTGTCTTCATTGTGGTGGTGGTTGTTTTGTTTGGGTTTCTTGTAGGCCAGAATTTGATATTCTCCACAATTTCTGGTGTTAGTTTTTTGCAGAGTATAACTCAAAGCTGCTGGAGTCTACCAATTACATTACCGGGCGACAAGCTGTCAAGGTAGGCTGAGTCTGTTGAGTCTGCATTTGTCTACTTCACTGTTTGTTTTGCTGTTTTTTTTTTTTTTAATTTTTTTTTTCCAATGGTGGGCCTCTAGGGTTGCTAGTTTTTTTTTTCCCCTCCATTTTTTTAATCTGATTGGGGGCTACTTATGTGACTATTCTGCATGCTTTGTTTAGTTCTATTGTTTTTCTCCTCATGCTCTCTCATGCCTTGATCATTACAATGTGTGCTTGTGTCTCTTTGCTTGTGGTCGGATTTTGATTTTGGTTTTGGTTTATCTTGATGCCCTCAGTTTTTTAGCTTAAATTTGTCCTCACCATGCTACCTTTATCCTGCACTTCATTGTTTTGGACCCTGGCTACTAACATTCCTTGGTTTTGTGATTTGATTTTGGGGGTTGCTATTGAGGTTTTGGTTCTATCTTGGTGGGGGTATCTTGGGGGTTATACTATGGTGGTATTTCATGTGTCTGTCAGCCATGGAGCGTCTTCCAAACCCCGCAAAACCGCTGTGTCCCGTCCCATTACAATACCGTCCCAATTACAATACCGATAAATTCCAATCCAAAGACAAATCCAACCTTTATTTTTATGTGTCTCGGATTGTTCATTTAGAACGGAATGTCCAACCCAGCACCTTCGACTCTATCCCTATCCGGTCTGCCTTTGATGCTTTGGGGGGTGACCAAGTCCTTCATTTCTCCGGTCCACAAAACCTCAGTTGGGTCCATCAGCAAGATAGCCCATTCCTTTCACACCTGGGTTCGCAATAAAGAGCTTTTCATTGATCAGGAGGTCATTAGGAAGTTTCTTGACCTTCCTGAAGTCCGGAACTACCACTATCCATTTCTTGCTACCCGTAATATCGCTGATTTTGACACGGTCGCCACTAAATTATATGGCACTCCCCAAACTTGGATTGCTGGGGCGCTTATTTGGCAAAATGAGCTTCTTTCCCGTTTTTACCTTTTGAATATCATAGTGTGTGCCAACATCCATGTCACCACCCATAACTCTAACATTTCCCAAGATTAGGGATATGTCCTTTACTGCATTGACCGTTATCTTCCTAAAGATCTTCCTGAAATGATTGTGTCAAAAATGATAGGTGTGTTTGAGGGTCGCAAATCTTTGGGTCTCCCCTACAGGTGTTTGCTAAACTGGTTTCTCACTTCTCTAGGTGTCCTCACTTTTGATGATAATGAGTTTGCCTTTCTCATTAAACCTATCACCAAACTAACCGTCTCCCAGAGTCAAGCCCATGTCAAGGGGGGGTCGTCAGGGGCTGGGACTTCTAATGCAGGTGATGATCTACTCACCGAGAAGGCGGAGAATGATGCGGTAGCTGCAGGTGCGGCGAAGACGCGTCCCCGATCGTTTCACGGCCAACTTCATCAGTTCAAGCAGTCCATCACACACTGCCTTGATCAGATGGATGCTCGACTCGACGCATTTAATGGACGCCTTGATCAGCAGACCACCATTCTTGCCCAAATCCTCTCTCTTCTGCAGATGCAACAGCAGCCACCTCATTTCTCATAGTGATTTTTGATCTCCTCTCTTTTTGCTATGTTTTTGGACAGTTATTTTTTATTACTAGTAATTTATCTAGAATTTGGAAAGATATCTTAAATGTGAAGTTCTCAAATCCCACTTTATTTAATCTCTTCTCTTTGATAATGCCAAACTAATGGTTGGGAATGGGGGAAAAATGTTATTTTGGAATGACATATGGTTTGGAGATAATCCATTCAATGATTGTTTCAAAAGGATTTTTTGCTTGAAGTTAAACAAAGATGGAATGGTGGTTGATTTTTACAATAATATGGGAACACTTTCTGAAGACACTGCCATTTTTAGGAGACCCCTTTTCGCTTGGGAGGAGGTGGAGCTAAACAAATTATTTGATCCTCTTCGCGGCTTCTTGATTGATTGCAATAAATCTGACATGGTGAGTTGGGCAGTTTACCGATCAGGCTCATGTTCGGTGCATTCTTTGTATGTCATGTTTGAATCGAATTGTTGCCCCATATTTGACTCTCTTAAACTGGTATGGAACAATGCACCGCCTTCAAAAGTTCATTGCTTCGGATGGCTTGCGTGGCTTGGAAGAGTTAAAACATCTGAATGGCTTTGCCAGATCGGTGCATCAATTGTCCGGAATAGTAGGTTATGTATTTTCTGTCAAGAGAGCCTTGAAACCTCTGATCATCTTCTCATTGGTTGTTACAAAGTCTGGAAAGTTTGGGCAACTATCTTAAAATGGTGGGGCATGTCATGGGTGGCTCCAAATTTGATCAAATCCCTTGTTCAGTGGTAGATTGGTTGGAAGTTCAAAAAGGGTCTGAAGGTTGTGTGGGAGTTCATTCCATATGCTATCATGTGAAATGTTCGGATTGCTCGAAAAAAATTCATCTTTAGAGGATCTCAGCTAAACTGGGAAGAGGTGGTGGGGAAAAATAAGTGCAAAATTCTTATCTGGGCAAAGAGTAAGGAGGTATGCAGGTATTTAAATGTAAGTGATTTTATGTTCCGATTGCAACACAAAGGACTATCTTTAGGGGTGTGAGTTGTCATTGTTTTGGACCCTAGTGTAGACGCCCCATTTTTGACCGACCTTAAGACTCAGACGTCACCAATTGAGCGCTCGGTGATGATGCATATTGTGCTCGTTCTGTGGTTTCAGAGTCTCGGCTACGAGCCTTGCCTCCGGACTTCGGGGCTCTTTTGTGCTTTGTCTTGGTTTGCAAACCAGGTTCTGTTTTCTCTATTTTCTCTTCCAGAAGGGAGGGAGAGGTCTCACAGACCATCTCTCAGTGGCCGTAGGCTACGTTTCGTGGTCGTAGGCCATTTTTCCCGTTTGGAGACCAGTTTCCGATTTTCGGAGCTGTTGGCCATGTGCCTCGGTTCGGGACCGCTTAACTACCTCCGTTTGCTCCGGTTTTTGGCACACACCTTGTTTCCTCTCTTTTGAGGGACACTGTGGCCCGAGAGACCACCTTCGTGGTCACACGCCACTTCCGTTTTCGGGGCCCCGGACTGCGCGTTTTGGCCCCCGAACCTTCGTTTTGCATCCGTCTTGGTCCATTTTTGGTAGGGACCCTATTTTCATTGCTAGAGAGGTGGTAGTATGGTGGGAGGCCACCTTTTCCCCTTGGAAACCAGCTTTCTCTTTTTCTCCCTCCTCCAGCCGGTTTTTCTGACAGAAAGCTGGTTTTTCTCACTTTTGAGCCACAATTTCTGGTTTTTCACACCACCATTGTGTTGTGCTCATCTAGGAGGCCACCAATATGGGTAGGCCGACCAGTAATTCTTCTTGACCCTTTTGAACCTTGCTAAAAAGCTGATTTTTGTCTCTCTTGGGTCACATTTTCTGGTTTTCCACCATACAACTGTGTTGCACTCATATGGGAGGCCACCTTTCTGGGTTGGTCAGCCATCATTTCTCCTTGAACCTTTTGACCCCTGGTCGGCCGACCAGGGGGAGT